GGTTGAAAAGTTCAAGGGGCTGAATACTTTCACAAGGCACTGTAAGTTTAGTTAATGTAGATTCTGAAACTGGCGCTTAGTTTGTAAAGGGTTTTAATTTTGGCCCCCTTTTGTAAGTGGGTTTGACACCCCTGGATTGATATTTAGTCTATTCTGAAGTGGTTCTGTGTAAATGTTATGAAGAATGAATATCTTACCTGCTCAAGCTCTTGAGCTCAGTGGAGAGCTCAGTGGTGAGCTGTGAGAGCCTTCAACGTAGTCGGAGAAGGCCCTCAGGAGACCCAAGAGTCAAGAAATTGAACATTAAAAAGTTAAATTATTTTATTACAATAAAAAATGGGGAAATAATGCATTTGACAGTGTGAGCTCGTTTCTGTTTTCTGTCTCAGTTTGCAAGTGGAAGTTCAGTAGTCCCTCGTTTATCATGGGGGATCCGTACCCTGAAGCCCCGCGATAAGTGAAAAGTCTTGAAGTAGGAATAAGTAGTAAGTGTTTTAAACCCTTCCCACACTCTTGCAATATTCTAAATGTTTCTAAAACTCTAAAAGAGCTCAGAATGTCATGATTTCAGCTCCCTGCCTCCTCTGCTCTTTGCCACCTGCCAGCGATCCTGGCCACGCCCACTTCTCCGCTCTGCATGGAGAACAGCTGATCAGCTGCCGCAGGAAGTTTATTCTGCAGTGTGGGCTGCACAAAGGTGCAACAGGTGCTAAATAATTTAAAATAATTGATTTTAAATAAGGCAGCATGGTGGCGCAACCGGTAGAGCTGCTGCCTCTCAGTGAGCAGGTCCTTGGTTCAAACCCCGGTCCAGGGGCCTTTCTGGGTGGGGATGGCATGTTCTCTCCGTGCATGCGTGGGTTTTCTCCGGGTACTCCGGTTTCCTCCCACAGACCAAAAACATGCATGTTAGACTGATTGGTAACTCTAAAATTGTCTCTAGGTGTGAGTGAGAGAGTGAATGGTTGTCTCGTTTGTCTCTGTCCCTGTGATGGACTGGAGACATGTCCAGGGTGTACCCTGCCTCTTGCACCATGATAGCTGGATAAGGGCACTGGTGACCCCCGTGACCCAAAATGGAAGAAGTGGGTAAAAAGATAATGGATGGATGGATTTAAAATAAAAATTTCATGCCGATCGTGCGGCTCATCCATCAGTCAGCCAGTTGTGTGTCATGTCCAGTCTTATTTTGAAAAACCACGATAGAGCGAGTCCGCGATAAACGAACTGCGAAGTAGCGAGGGACTACTGCATACACATATATCCTCCCCCTTTCTACACATAGGGCAATAAAATTAATCCCGCACCACAATAAACACTTTAATATTTCTGTCTCCACCTGACCTGTTTAGATCGTAATTGTTGGTATTTTTATATTCTCTGTTATTTTTTATATCTTGTGTGATTCATTGTCTATGTTCCTTTGTATTGAAACTCTGGCACAACAATTTCCTGCGGGATCAATAAAGTTCTATCTTATCATATATATATATGTATATAACACGTAAAAATATGATAATAGGTTGATATGACTATAATAACAGTGATATAAAATCCTTCTATATGACATTTGTATTTCCACATGCTATCAACCTGTATCAGATCATCAGTAATGTACAGTTAGTTGTGATGCAGTTGACTTTTCTCCACTTTTCACACCCATGCAGTGGGACTCTGTTTGGCTTCTGTTTTAAAAGCAGCATTTTATATTTATAGTACCAGTAAAAGTAAAACATTAAAGTTTAGAGTATGTGCAGGAAGCAGCCGTGCTTTGCATGAAAATAAACCTCAAATTTAATGTATCAGTAGTATAAGTATGTATTTATAAAAATTGTGTTGACAGTACCCCAGAAGTTTCTCACACCCAGGGGTACACCCACTTGATTCCTCCTGTTACATATGGTGTTAAATTTGACAGAAGTCTGTTTTCCACAGCGCAGTTTGACCTTTTTGTGACGTTATCGCCCCCTGCACAGCCTGCAGAGGGAAGAGCAGAGAGGAGGGAGGGAGTGGAAAGAGCGCAACTAAGGCAACTCATTTACAAGCAACTTACAATCTACACACGTTAGGTTGGTAGAAAGATTGGAGAAATCCTTTTTCACACCATCACAGATCTCGTGGAAGCAGGAACCCTCCTTCAACTCTACGGTTTTGACTCTTACATCGAGGACTCACTGCAAGTTTTTCACTTCCATGCAGGTGCGGTAAAAGGAGACCTGAAAGTAATAAAATAAAAGTTTACAGAGCAGAGAAGACACAGTGAAGACTCAGAGACCTTGTTGAATCTACGCGCACAGTTTTATTTTTTTATTTTTTGAATAGCTGGTAAGTATTTGTATGATTATTTGAATGAAAGTATGAGGTTTCTTGTCCCTCACTGCCAGTTGGCTGGCCTCGGAGCGTCAAATCTGTTTATACAAACTGACTTTGAAAATGTGTTTGCTTGCTGGTTTTGCTTTCACGGAGCTAGTTTTATAAGCAGCAGAATTAGAAGAGTGGGACTTTGTGCTTCAATCTGCTGTGGCTATAATCTAGAGAGATAACTAACTGAACCTGTAAAACACACACACACACACACACACACACACACAAACACAACCCTCCGAGAAAAGCCAACTGGCAG